CAGAGTGAATTTCAATTTCAGTTTCGAAAATATTCTGAAATATCTGCAGGATATGATTTTGAAGGTCAATCTCAAAAGGAGTTGAATAGACACACTTAGACCACGAAAACATGGTCTATGCCTAATGAAGTAATTCGCATGCTTATTTTTAGTTGTGCTCTTTGGAACTTGACTTTAATTTTACTTTGCCCTAATAACTCAAAAGTTACTATTTTACTTCTTGAAACTCAAAATCATTTCACTTTGATTTGTGAACTATCTTTTCTCCCGAAAACCCAAAAGTCACCCTTTGGTACATATGTGGGGACCCACCTCCCAATATGACTTTTTCACAAGTACCATTGAATTTGATTATAAATATTCACCATGCGTTAACATTCAACAATCAGAAAATATAAAGTTTAAAAGAAGAAATTAAGAATTAGAATTTTTTAGGTTTCTGTGCTTGAGATGCAAAGATGGAAAAAAAATGATTAGTTTGGTGGATACAAATCAAACCCACATAATGAATTAACATAATCAAGGGAATGTGGAACAAGTGAGTAAAATGACGACTTCTAAGTTTATGAGGGCAAAATGAGATCAATATCGAGTTTCAAGGGCAAAGTGGAACAAATTTTGAGTTTTAGGGAGTAAAATAAAGACTTTGAGTTATAGGAGGTGAAAAAAGTTGAGGTTCCACCATAAAATCAATCAGCAATATGGTGAGTAGCCTAATCTCTTATAAGCTCTTGCAAGGTTTCTCTTTTCACCAATGTGGAACTCTTTTACCTTCACATTCTCACACACCCCCTCACGTGTGACGAACTTTCATGCTAAATACGTGGACAACACGAATTGGGTGAGGTGGAGCACATGTAGCTGTTGGGCTTTACATGTGGGTCAACCTGCTTTGATACCATAAAAAAAGTTAAGGTTCCACCATAAGACCAATTAGCAATATAAAAAGTAGTCCAACCTCTTATAAGCCTTTGCAAGGTTTCTCCTTTCATCAATATGAAACTCTTTTACCTTCACATTCTCACAAGAGGCAAAGTGAGATTAAAATTAAATTATATAGAGATTTAGCTAGAAATAAGCCTAATTCACACATGAGCCTAAAACCCCCCACCGTGTAAGGCTCGGAGGTGTTAGATCCGGACGGAATTTAAAGCGGCCCAAACATATAGGGTAGGAATCAAGACGAGAGCATAACTTAACTTTCTACCTATATGAAGCATAAGCGCAGGCAGTAGCAAACACTGCTGCTTATCATACTTACCAAGCAGAACTATTATTTTGTTTGTGATTGTGCACAGCAGTCTGCATACTAAGAGTAGCTAGTTAGCTAGCTAGGGAAAATACAGTACACATACAATAGTCTGTCAACTTTTCCTAACCCACGATTCCAGCCTTCCGGTAGCTTTCAATAGAATCATTAAGCGTTTCCTCAACTGGCCGGAAAGTCCAACCCAACTTCTGCAATTTTTCGGAACTAAAGTGTTGAAATTCTTCCTCTGCATAGGTAAGGCTGCCAATACAACCGGTAACATATCTTAATAACATAAACATGGATCAGTCGTTAAAGGTACACAACCAAACAGAAGGATGAATTGAAAAAAAAAAACAGACCATAATTAATTATTGAAGGACTAGTCTAATGGTTTAACTTACTTCTTGGGGTACTTGTAATCGGGATATGTAGGCCTTAAGTATTTCTCCACCACATCTCGTATGCCAATTGAGTGTGAATTGCATAAGTATCTTTCTCCTGCAGCCTCAGGCTTGTTGTATGCAAGAAGCAGCGCGTCAGCTAAATCACGAACATCCACGAACGTCCAGTAATTGCATCCCAAGGACTCAAGACCACCTACACATTCGTACATAGTTGCGCGCGTGCATGCACACACACACACTAGTACATTAATATTGCACAAACAAGAAACATGTCTTGTACCTTGTAATCTTAATATATGAATATGCACAGAGATACCTATTATAGTTGCAACAATGAGAGAGCTACTGGAATTGAGAGTGGATTGCAAGATTGGCCCCAAAATGATAGAAGGACAAACAGTCACAACCTCAAGTCCATTTCTTTTTCCAAACTCCAGAGCCTCGCGTTCTGCTTCTGTTTTCGAAAGATAGTACCATTTCTTTGTTGTTTTTATATATTCGGGAACGGACCAACAAGTCTCGTCCTTGACTTGATCCTTAGGCCACTCCGGGTTCATAACGACGGCGGCTATAGACGACACAACTACAACTCTCTTCACTTTGGCCTTTTTGCAAGCCTTGAGTACATTCAGCGTTCCCTTTATTGCTGGTTCAAGAAACTCCTGCAACACATTCATTTATTCTACAATTTCAGTTCTTTTACTCAAAACTGAAAGGATCATGCTTGTGTTCCTCTCGTAAGAGAACTTGCTTCCCCCCCCCCCCAAATTACAATTAACATATTTTTATCGTATGAACATCAAAATTGGAACCGTTCATTTTATTTATCATCATCTAAAAATCATTCAATTTGAATGTCTTTTAGTCATCCATGCATGTTAAACCAATCGATGGTTTTGGTAACAAGTAGCATCTTCATGATAAACGGTTCCTTTGATTGATGCATAGCATTGACTAAAAGACCTTCACATTTAATGATTTTTGGCTTTTTATCCAAAATGGTCTATGAAATTTGCATAATACATAATTTTGGTACCTAAGATTGAAAATCAATAAAAATGGTCCCTGATTTTCCACCATCCATGATTTTGGTCCTTTTGTTAAAAACTCCGTTAAGTGGTTCCGGACCTCTTGGCCGATAGCTTGAAAGGTGATTGGTTTGCAGAAAAACTGGAAAATTCATCGTAAACTGGGTAAACTTTAAACGTTCATAACTTCTTCAATACTCAACGAAATTGAGTGATTCAAAAATGAAAATCATACTTCTAGATGAGACGAAGAGAATGGTATCTTTCTTGATGGCTAATGCGCCATGTTTTGACCTAAAAATAGCCTGAAAGGTGACTGGTCTGTAGGAAAACTGAAAAACTCACCGGAAACTAGGTAAATTTTTAACGTTCATAACTTCCTCAATACTCAACGAAATCAAGTGATTCAAAAACAAAAATCATACTTCCCAATGAGAGGAAGAGAATGGTACCTTTCTTGATGGATAACTTGCCGTCGTTTGGCCATAAAATGGCTCGAAATTGGCTGTCTTGGTCTCATCGAGTTAGCCACTTTCGAGCCATTTTCCGGTCTAACCACGGAGAGTTAGCCATCGAGAAAAGGTACCATTCTCTGTATCTCATTGAGAAGTGTGAGTTTAGCTTTTGAATCACTCGATTTGGTTGAGTATTGAAGAAGTTATGAACGTTTAAAGTTTACCCAGTTTCTGGCTAGTTTTCCAGTTTTCCTGCGGACCAGTCACTTTTTAGGCTATTTTCCTGCTATATCGGGAAACAATTGGGCTTCCAAATAGGTATAATCTTATTCTACACTTTCCTATCTTCATTTTGATATATTATGGGTCGAATTTGGTTAAGAAACGATTAAGTTATGAAGCTTTGAAAATTACCCAAACTTCTGGTCAAGAGCTCTAGAACCACCTAACAGAGTTTTTAACGGAATGACTAAAATCATGGATGGTAGAAAATCTCATGAACCATTTTTATTGATTTTCAATCTCAGGTGCCAAAATTATGTGTTATGCAAATCTCAGGGATCATTTTGGATAAAAAGCCATGATTTTTTATGAATATGATATTTAGATTATATATGAAAGTGAATAAACGATTCCAATTATGATTTTTGTATAGTAAAATATGCTAATTATAAATGTAGAGATAATTATGTTCCTTCATAAGGGGAGCACAAGCATTATTCACTGGAAGCCAATTTTTTTTTTTTTTTGGACTTTCAAATTTCAAATTTTTTTTTTTTTCAAATATGGGATTCATTAATCAATCAATGCAGCCGGTCGAATCTAACAATTATAGTTAAATAAATTACGTTGAGCGAGGCACACATTAATTAATTAAAGTAAATGCCAGAGAGACTAAATGTGTAGATTAAATTTACTCATCATAACTCAATTAATTAAGATAACATAATCTAGAAGATTCTTGCCTCAGGGTCTGAATCATTAAGAGAATTGGGTACAGGGCTGGCAACATGGAAGACTCCGCTGCAACCTTCAATGGCCAAACGAAGAGAGTCGTAGTCCAACAAATCTGCCTTGAACAGTTTGAGGTTCACTGATGCTTTCTCAAGCTTGTTCAAGTGAGCATACTTGCTATCTCCTGCATGCGCGCACGAATATATTTTTCTCAATTCAGTCCAATCTTCTCACTGAAAGTATACAATTAATATTATACTATATATACGATGAGTGTTGGGATTGACTGACCTGGTTGCCTGACAGTTCCATGAACAACATAGTCCCTGGAGAGAAGGAGGTTGACGACCCAAGAGGCAGTAAATCCTCCAGCTCCAGTCACGCATACTTTTTCTTTCTGATCAGCCGCCTCACCCGCCATCTCGTTGCTATATCTTCTTACCAAGTTATATATTCAACCTAGCTAATTTCCTTGCTCCTCTCAGTCCCACCTCTCTTATGATTGATCTCTCTATCTATATCTTCTTCGTCATTCTACTTGTCTGTTTATATATGCGGTGGAGGGAGTCTTATGCATATGGTTTGACAAAAGATGAATGCCCACGTGGTGAATGTTTATTGGTGAAATAGTGATGTGGGTGATGCCCACGAAGTCATTTCTTATAACAACTTGCTGAATTTTCCTTAGCAATATTGAAGGCTACAACAGTACAACTTGTTGAATTTTCCATGGTAATAATGAAGGTGTGAAATATATCACTATCTAATTTTACGTATTTACACAAATTCACTTTATTTTCGTAATTAGTAATTAAAAATCTGTAAGGCCATTTTAGTCACTTTTAGTGTTTTCGAATAGAACTCAATCTCACAAATGCGTGGACAAAAAACGATCGCGAATTGGAATGTTAATGAAGGAGAAATAAGGAAACAAGGGAAGGGGTAATTTTATCTTTTGGACCCCTATGTATGGAAGGTCCCAGATTTAGGAAGGGAGCTCTTCTCGTTTTAGAAAACAGCTATGCAAGTCGACTTGGTTGCCTCGGAATCTCTCTGCAATTTTGATTGTTTTTGGACAAACTTTCATACGCCGATTCCAATGAATTTTGTCGACGACAATCTTGGCCACCATATGGGATAGACTCCTCTCGTCCCCATGGTCATTTCCCACCCAAGATCAACCTAGTTTGGCTCTCATTTGTGGCGGATTGAGTCTTGAGAATTCCGGGACTTTGATGCCGACGATCTGCCTTCTCCGTTCACCTCAACGTCGATGACTGCCTCCACTGCATTAACCTCAATTTGGGCTGCAAACTCCGAGCTTTAAATTTGACGTTCGAGCTCTATTAAAGACTCGACAAGGTACACCCTTTTCGTCGATCCACAACTTTACTGAGGAATTTAAGGTTTTCCAATCATATCTAGACTCCGACAAATGTATGAATATTGCTCCATCCTCCACAGGCTTCAATTTGACATAATATGGGTCATTTTTTGTTATGGCCACAATCCGGCGAGTCATAGCCACTAATTATCGTGTGCGATGGCGGGTGGCAGTGGTGTGTAGGCTCGATGCCCACTTTGTCTACTTAGGCCAATTCATGTGCCCTGAATTTGGTTTTTGACACCCCTTTGACAAGATTTGACTGTTTGATCCTAGTTTCGTAAAGGTCCGCCACACGGCCTTTCTAGTAGATGAAGATCTGACTGTTGGATCCTTATGAAATTATAGTATGTGGTTATACGTAATACTTTAGGATCTTAGGAATTTACAGGTTGGAAGTTCGACGTACAGGTCATCCGGATTAAATTATTAGGGTTGTTAACCGTATCGTTGACCACATTAACCAAGGGTTGACATTTGGTCAAAATGTTCCAAATCGTTCTTAAGTACTGAAATTAACATTACTAGATGTCTGATAAAGTCTAATGGGTCTATCTTGGTAAGCGAGCCATATTGAGGGATATGTGCTTTGTTTTGCGTGCGGGTGGCAACTTACTAAAATTTACGTGATTATTGAACTTCTAGATGATATAATTGATATGTCATTGCTAGTATGAAAAAATGAGCATGGAACCATAGTAGAAGTTTTTTGTAGAACTTATATGTTGTATGACAAGTCTTTTGGTTAGTCACGTGGAATCGAGTGTGTGTGTGCGCGCTTACAATTGTGATTCATGCTGAATTGATGTATGATGTACGATTCATGATGTAAGATGTATAATGTGTGATGATACAACTAAACCATGTAGCAGTGTGGTACATAGGTGGTCGTGCTTGGTTAATCTGCATTGGGGAACCACACCATTTGATGCATGTCTATGGACCTGCTTGGTTAATCCGCATTGGGGGACTATATGCATTATAGGCATGACTTTGCTTGGTTAATCTGCATTGTGGGGTCACTACTTATTTGGTTACCTTGTTTCCATAAGTGGTCTTACTTGGTTAATCCGCATTAAAAGACCATGCTATTGGTGTCATAAGCTTGGTTAATTCTGAATTAGGAGACCATACACATTCTAGGGGTGACTCTGGTTGGTTAATATGCATTAGGGGTCATTGCCTACCTTGTTACTTGGTGCTCATGGGTGGTCTTGCTTTGTTAATTCGCATTAAGGGACTACACCATTTAATGCACGCTTATGGTTCTACTTGGTATATCCGATGGGGACAATACATATTTCAAGGGTGATCACTACCTACACAATTAGTTTATGCCTATAGTACTACTTAGTATATCCCCGATGGGTGACCATATGTATTCTAGGGGCGATGGTGTTTGGTATATCTGTGATGGCTAACCACTTCCTCCATAAGGTTGTAAGGAGAAGTTGTGCTTGGTAAACCCGTGATGGGCGACCACTTCATAGTGGGATTCCGTTAAGTGGTCTGGGATCCCAACTCTTGGTCGGTTCCGTGGAGTTAGTCCTAAACCCTAGATTATTGTGAATAGAAATTACTGATAGTAGACATTTATGTTTGTAAATTAGGGTTACAATATTGCTTGGAATCCAGGTAGGGAAATACAAAGATTATTATCAAATTTCGTGAAAGGATACTTTGATCTTGTTGGTTGATTAAGTAGTTAAATGTTAATATTGAGTATCCTTGAGTCATGGAATCTATTATTTGTTGTGATTGTGGAACTGTGTTGTAAAACATTGTTATGTATGCGGATGACGAAATGACAATCTTGGTTGTCATATGATTTCGTTATTGAATTTGAAATGTATTGATTTATGCTTTTCGAGTTCCATTGAGTGATTTTAGAACTTTATGTTTTTTTGTTAGGAAGTATCATGAGAAATGTCAGAGCTTGACAAAGGGTAAACTACGAATGGCTTAATCCCGTTTTAGGGTATGTAGGCAATCTAATATAGAGATTAGATGTAGCCATGAAATAAAAGAAAAAAAAGTTACTATGCTATTGAACTATTGGTTTGTTTTGGTCATGTCTCGGAGGCGAGGTATGATAGATGAATAGGCACATGGTGACATCACGTATCGATCCTAATGTATTGGGATCGATGCGTGACAAATGCTACAACTTATGTACGAGTATGGGTTTGTAATATCTCCATATATAAAAGATGCAAGTCTATAACATAGAGGGTAAATGTTTTATCCCAATCCTCACATGAGTGAGCTTTACACTATGTAGTATATACACCAAAGTGAGAGTTTCCAGATTAAAAAAAAATATAGAATGTAATTATTTTAGATCCTTGAAAGTGAAACTAGGGGCAGAACTAGGATTTCATATGCGGGGGCCAAATCATTATACAAGTAAGAACTATCAAGAATTTACATATGACGTGCACACCAACATGGTACTTAGAACAAACTTTAGTTAAGAAAAACACATGGAAAATCCCTAGAACAGTATGCATATACCAAAAGAAATATCGCGAATCTATAGTTACAAATTTATCATGACTCATGAGTATAATACAATTATGCATTCAAAAAAGACCCACAATCAACAAACAAGAAAGATAATTCTCACTAGAACTAAACCTTGCAAGCTGAAGAACTACTATAATGGTTGCCATGAGTAAAGTACACCAACTTATTATAACCTTGCAATCGTTTGCAAAGAAGCATTGTTATAAGTCACTTCCAACAAAATCAAGCTTCTTCATAGTCATTGCCAAGTCCACAAACCAAGAGAACCCAAAAAACCTTCACCTCAAAGTTGACTAACATCGGTTGATGTAAAATATGTGATTGAGTAGTAAATCTTCATCTCTATAAAAGATTCTTCTCAACAGAGCAAGAGACTGGGCACAGCTATTAAGTCTCTATAATGAAGTGAAAGAGTAACCATAACAGTGACGTAGGACGAGCCAAGGTTCTCAAAGAGACGAGTGTAGATAACCTGAGAATCACTCAACCAAAGAAAAAGAAAACGGAACTCGTGTTGCTTTGTTTTCTCCAACTTTGGTATGGTATGATTCCATCCGGTGGCGGCTCATGTTGCTTTGCTTTCAGACTATGCTGCCTTTCCTGGCTTTTGCTTCTCAAATTAATGTGCATCTCAGTATATATGTTTATCTGACTGTTCTCTTTTCTTAACCCTGTGATGTTGCTTGATCTATTTTGCAGGTTTAGACCTTTAGGTTTGACTTTATAAGGGTTAGGTTTCATCCCCCCCCCTATTTTCCTTGTATCTCTATTGTTTTCATTTCTACCGGGGCAACATTTATGTCCCCCTTCATTTTCATGTATTTTTTTAATCCTTTTTTTTTTCTTGTATTATGAGGGGTTAGGTTTATTTCCTCCTGGCTAAGTATAACTTCTTTTTTCATTATCAATCAAATACCCCTCGTAAGACCAAGTCAAACGCTTTTCAAAGGAGAAAATGACTCGCTTCTTAGATATAATTTTTAAAATTCACTAAATGACTTCTTTAAAGATACATATGGAACCCCTTAAATAGGAAGATTATAAAGCATTAGTTGGATAAATAGTTAATATTAGAACAGTTACTAGGCAACTCAATAAAAAAGAGAAGAAAAACAATGGCATTGATAAATGAGAAGATCCAACCAGCCATTTATTCCCGTACACTACATAAAATAAGAGACAAAGATGATTAGAAGATAGAAGAAACATGGGAAATAAATGGAAGGGACCAAGAGGGATTACCGACGATCCTTGCCTTTGGCTTTAGGATACAAGGCGATGAGTTTTTTTTCTTTGTTTTTCTCTCTAGTGACTAAATTTTTTTGGTAGATAAACGTTCAATCAATTACACATGTACACATGCACATAACCTAGTTAGAATAAAACAGAAAATATATACCCGATTTCACTTAAAACTTTGGCCATATTGTGTTGACACTCGGTTTGCAAGCTAAGATTTCCACCGTCCACAAAACGAGTCAAGATTGCCTTTCACTATTTACTACGTACATCACTTTTTCGGCAAACACAAAGTCAATGTTTGTCACTTGCATGACTCTGAATACATTTTATAAAGCCTACCACCTAAAGCATTGATTTGTCAAGATATATACTGCACCATATAGATACTTCATGGTCCCATTCAAATTTTCACGTCCACATAAACTCATAGTTATCTATGACTAATTAATTAAATGAGAATTAAAAAACACAAATAAATAGAAGAATCCAACAAGAAAAAATAAATGTTGAAATCATTTTCCAGACTACTGTTGCGACACAATCTCACAAGAAAGTGTTACCCTACCAATCTCCAAATTTGACTTCTTAAACCCCCAACCAATCAAGCAATTTTTCAATAAACCCCAACTAAAAAACACAAATAACTGCAAAACTAATGATAGGTCTATGAGGGTGTTAAAAAATGATAGGTAACGAGCTCATGTCTCCGGCTATGGCTAGTTGGCATGTCTTTGTCATCATTTACGTATTACTGTTTAACATTAACATCAACGGAAGATTCTGATTGAAATAATATCCAAAGCATTTTACCGGATCACCATCACTATTAAAACATAATTAGAAAAATAATTTCACTAAATAAGGGACTCTTATTCATTGGTGTATTTTCATCTAATTAATTAGACATGATCGAGGTGTACATGCGACGTGATGAGCTAAGACTAGTAAGTGCTAGACCATGACCCTTATGTTAAGATTTTTGAGAGTGGAGCAACCAGTCCACTATTAATCACGCTAATATTGTCTCAAACTTAATCACTTGTGCAATTCAATAAACACTAATACTATCTCAAACTTATTCATTTGTCCAATAAGTGAGGGGGTTGTCACTAACGCAATTAAAAATGAAACCATTTCATGTAAATTTTAGTTTGTTTTATAAGATGCCCAATGCGAGTGACTATTATTCCACACCTTCAAGCAACTCCAAACAATAAACACCTAATCTGGGACCCCAAGGGACTCATATTCTAGAACCTGAGAAATATCCGTCAATAGCTTATTTCCATTTGAACAAGTCGAATGAGTAAGATCATAAAGGCCAAAACCAAAACATTGTTTTCTCAACAAACACAAAAAGATGAAATATTATTTGGCAACTATCACTGGGCGGTAGCTATAAGACAGAAAACTGACATATATGTTTGGACTCCACCAACCTAAACGGCACTGCAACAAATTAAGCCAAATTTTCCTCTTCCATCGTGGGATGTGTAACTTCAAACAATGTAGTTAGATTCGTAGAGCACGCTCTGAGATGTTTTCGGTATCAGAGCAGTCCAGCCTCTTTGTAGCTTTCAACTGAGCCAGTAAGCGTCTCTTTCAATGGTCGGAAACTCAAACCCAGCCTCTGAAGTTTCTCCGAGCTCAACCTTGGTTGTTCTTCTACTTCAACAAAGCTGCCAATATACATGTATAATCCAAATTCATAAAATTAGTTGAAACGGAAAACCATTACAACAAGAATCCCTGTCCA